CAGCGTGTTCAGTGGTGGCTCGATCCCCAGAAGGAACATGCGGGTTCTAAACAGCTTCTGTAGGAAGCAAGTTGAAGAGTCAAGTCTGACATCTCCTGGCTTTCACATGAAGAACATGAGCTTAGGGGGAAGTGGTGCACCAGTGTTGCGCAGCTATTCAGGAAGCCTGACGTTCTACTAAGGACAGGGTTGATGTTTAGCTTTCTTAACTATTCCTCTATCCTGCAAGGCCCCCTGAACTCTCTAGCCCCCGGGCAAGCTCACAGCCCCCTTTCCTCCTCTTCATCCATAGACTAGAGGCAGTCCCTGGAGGATCCCTTAGGGCCTGGCCTCTGTCCTCCCCACCCGCTGCTCCCAGCAGATCTGCAACACTGGAAACCTTGCCTGAACTTGCCTCCAGATCCAGACTGGTGGGCTGGCCAAGATCAAATCTCACCCCTGGAATGCCCATTATCCCCTTCCAGGGGCCCAGATCCCCTCCCCCCAGCCTCCTTCTCCTTTTAGTGTATGGAAAAGAGGAGGAAGAAGGGGAGGAAGTTAGGAAGACAGGGGGGGGGTTGGGAAAGGGGAGCACTGGCCCATGAATGTCAGGAAATCAGTGTGGGAGCAGAGACTGGTTCATATCATCCGTTGTTTTAAAGTCCAAAGCAAGCTTGAGTTATCAGGAAGCCATCTTCCAGGCAGGCAGGAGCCTTGCTTTCCCAACCACCTAAGGCAGACCCCATGCAGGCTGCCCCTGCTTCCCAACAGAACAGGGGCTATTGCCCCCTGACGCAGCTTTTCTGAGACACACACAACCCTACAAGCATCCTCAGTATCACCATCACCATCATCACCACCAGCTCTACCGTCACCATGACTACCACCAGCACCTTAATCCCCGTCATCATCGTCATCTTCACGATTTCCGTGGTCACCACCATCATGATACCGTTAACCCTCGACTCCCTATCGCTATTACGCTCCCTTACCACTGTCATCACCAGCAGCAGCAACCCCTCACCAGTCTTCAGCTCTTGCGATGTCCTGGTGTGCTCCCCTGACTGTTCTCAGGGCCGGAGACCTGGCAAACGGGCTTTGGAACCTTCCCTATGCGGGAGCCCTGGACGGCAGGCACTGTCCTGCTCTGCGCATGTACAGTAGTGAGCCCCGAGTCCCCCGTAGTGCCTGCCTGAAGCCTGGGCCTCCACTTGCTTGGGATCCAGCCCTGCTGCTGGGACAATGGGACTCTTTGCTGAGTGGGCAGGCCTCATGTTCGCTGTTTCACCCCTTCCCTCCATCTACTCCACCCTCCCACCATCCCTGGAATCTAGTGTGAATGTTTAAAGGGAGACTTTCCCCTTTAAGGGGACAATGCCCGGCTCAGAACCCTCCCAGAGGACCCTTCCTCACCAAACATTGAACCTCTGTGTCCATTTGCCGGCCACAGACAGAATTTTCTGGTAGCTATATCAGAAGGAATCGGAAGCAAGTAAAATTGACGCCAACTGTATGTTTTGTTGAACACAAAACGTGGTCTAACTGTACCCTGTCAACAGGGTGAGGGTAGGAATTAGAGTCTGCTAACCCTGCATTATCTCCACTGAACTCTGTAATCCAAAGGACCACGCAGCATGGATTCAGGGGCCAGTGGCTACAAAGGGCGGTGAGGGTCTGGACCTCAGCAGGCTCGCTCTGTCTTCTCAGTGGGCGGTGCTCCAATGTGTTGCTTTACATGGAGGCTAAAGTAGCATACCAGAACCAAGTGGGCCTCTTATCTCCTTTGTGGCTGGCAAGTGGAGTATCCGTAGTGTGCTGACCATAAGAGCTGGCATGCCAAAGTGTAACTGAGACCTTACAGTCACTCTCCCAACCCTGAGCGGCTTCTATGGCTGTGGTAGCCAAGCCCCTCTGTGGCTCCTCCCCTGCTCTCCATGGAGCCATTTTGGGGAGACAGTGGGGGCATCGCATGGCAGGTTTCAGGGTTAGCGTGTGCCCCAGGTCCCAAGCAGCCTTGGAAGTTACCTGTTCAGTTGTTCTAGACGAAGCTGTTGCTAAACCCTGCGTTCTGTTGTGTGTGTGTTTGCCAAATGCCCAGCACATAGGTGGGGCACATGACTGTCGAGGTTAGGATGGAGCAGCCCTCCTGAGACCCATCCCTCGACAAATGTCATACTCCAGGGGGCCAAACTGTCTGTCCGTAGGCCTCCCAGCAGCTCCCGGACACAGATTTTAAGGCCCCCCCGAAGGGCTCTGGTCAGGGGTGGGTGGGTAGGGATGGGCAGAGCTGCTGACTCATCCCTTGCACAGTGCTTATGTCTGTGGGTCCTGCTTGCTTTCTCATTTAGAGGAAAGATTTCATCACATACACAGGTCCCTGGCATTTTGTAATGGGTTCTGGGAACAGAGAATGAATTTGCATTCCCTTTCCAAACAGTGAGCTCTTTCCCTTACCCTCCCCCCCCACCACAAACACAATTGTGTGAACAGCCCACACACATGGACAGGGTGAGAAGATTCGGCCAGTGGCAGAACCCAAATCACAGCCTACTAATCCTGGAAGACATTGCCTCGTCCTCTCTCATCTCTCACTCCAGCAAGTGTGGATGCCTCTAGCCTTCATCCTCACCAACCCGCAAGCTCTTCTGGGGTCTGTCTAGCCTATATGTATTCAATTTCTGTATAAGGAGTCAGAGCAGTGTAACACTTCATTGAAGAATGCTGCTCCTGAGTTCGAACGTCACTTCCATGGACCGTTAGCTGTGTGGCCTTGGGCAATTTGCCTAACCTCTCTGAGCTTCAGTTTTTGCATCTGCAAAGAGGGATGGTTACTTTTTTGTTATGATGACAGGGATTCTAGAGATGCTGAGCATAATAGATGTTGATGGTACTGAGGCAAGTCTTTCGTCTCCCTCACAGGCATGACACATGGGTGGGTATTACAGGACACACAGTCCCTGGGAAGGCTCAGACACTCTACCTCCTTCCTTTTAGCAGGTGGATGCTTAACACTTGTCCAAGAAAGAGAAAACAGATCAAACACACTGCTCCTCACACTGAGTGTCAACCATAACACTGCCGTAGGCACGTACGCACGCATCCTGCCGTACTGTGCCGGGCTTGGTGTCTGAGCTCAGGATCTGCCTCCCTCACGTTTGATGCCCCTCCCCCTGCAGCTGGTCTCTCCCTCCTGCCCACGGCCCATTGAGTTCTATGCACATCACAAGGCGGCCCGAGTCTCCTCCCAGCCCACTTCCTCAGAGCCTTGTTGGCAATTCTCTCTTCCCACATACTTTTCCTTCCATATGGCCAATGCATGTCATTCTTTCCACGGGGCCCCTGACCCCTTGCTGGATTTGAACTCCCTTTCTGTATTAGTTCTGGAGGATGCCATGTGTGGAATTTGGTCATAAAGCCAGGCACTGGATGCTGGGCAGGGCCTCGCTTCCTTACGGTCAAGGATCCTGTGTGTGGTGTTTAGGGGTTGTGAGGACATCCTGGGACATCCAGACCTTTGTGTGAAGAGGCCTCGAGTCTCCTAAGAGGATGGGGTGGGCATCCTGGGAGCTTTTGTTGGAGGAGCTCCCTGCTGTTGCCAGGTCCCTCCGGACTCTGGATCTCTGTGCTGAGAGCCTCAAAAAGCCCTGTCTCTGTCTCCCACTGTCCTCCAGCTGTGGCAGCAGCTGTAGTGGCAAGTGAGCAGGCTCCAGTCAGTGCAGGACTTGCCCTGAGCTTCTCTTATCCCCTTACCCTGACTCCATCAGCACCCGGCCCTCCCAGGCCCGGCCACCTGCAGGCTCGCACCCAGTCCCATCCAGTCCCAGAGGAGGAGGCAGGCCTAGTTCCTTCCTTCCCGGGCTCCAGACTAGGCATTGCTTGGAGGACCAACCGGCGAGGCCGTGGCCACTTACTCATCCCTGACCCCTGCAAGTCCCACGTCAGTCACTCCAAACCTCTGTTTCCTTCTGGCTATCGTTTGTGAATAGAGCTGGTGTTACTTTTTTGTAGGGTTAGGTGCTGGCACCAACAAGCACCATGTAAGAGCTGGAGGACTTGGGCACAAATTGGACAGGTTCATTCTCTGCATGCAACACCTCAAGGTGGGTAATCCCAGTCCCAGCCAGGTCTCGTCCTGAGCTGCAGTACTCACAGACAGGTAGCTGAACCCTGACCGTGAACAAGTATGTTAATCCCCCCCCTCCAAGAAATCCTTGTGGCAATCCCATAACAATAGCCTTGCACCTCCCACGGTTCTTGGTCCTCATGTGGGACTCAGACTCTGAAACCGCCCAGCCACTAGCTCTGCTGCCCCAGGCTGCCTCCCCTCTGCCTGGCCGTCCACCCGCTGCCCCCAGCAGCTCATCCTCTTGCCCAGCCACCCCCACGCTGCTCCAGCAGACTTCCCCTACATTGCCACGTGTCTCCTTCCCCCTGGTTCTTGAGGGTGCAGACCTCTGTCGCTCCCTCTGGACCCAGGTGGGAGAGAAGTCTCCAGATGCCTTCTGGGAATGGCAGGATAGGAACACCCCCGCTGGACAAACCATGGAGGGACACAGGACTTTGAGGTGGCATCTGGCACAGCTCAAAAACCCCCGAATGCAGCATGCTTAGCGGGAATTTGTTGAAGGCAGGCATGCTCCTTCCTAGTTTTCCTTGGGGTTTCCCAGCACCTCTCCTCTTGGGAGCTCTGATGCCCAAAGTCCTGGGCTTTTCAAACTCACAGGCTCTGGATGTCCCCAACAACCCCTCATCGTGTGCTGTTCTGAATGGACGAGTGATCCACCCCAGATCACACAGCCAATCCCGGGGGGTGCTGATCCCCAACTCCCTGTGTGGAGACAGAGGAAAGCAGGCTGACTGTCTTGAGGGCTGCTCCTCCTGCCCCCACTCCAGGAGCTTCTCCTCACCCCAGCTGTCCTCTCCCCTCTCTGCCCACCCCTCCAAGCCATCTTGCCTTGACCCTCAGTACCAGGGAGCAAGGGGTCAGGTCCCCTCACTGATCCTTTCCAGGCGGGACTCACCGTGGCCAGGACGTTGCCCGCCACCAGGACTGCCGCGGCTGCCAGCGTCCAGGGCAGGAGCCACCTCATGCCTGGAAGTCAGTGGCACAGGAGCTACCTTTCAGCCCAGAGAATGCAGATGCCTCCTGAGGGAGCTGGGCCAGGACTGGGCTGGCCCATCAGAGCGGCAGAGAGCCTTCCTCAGCACCCCCCTCCGGGGGGGGCGTAGAAAGCTGCATCTGACGTCAGGCCAACAGACTAGCCCTGCGTTTTCCTCTAAAAAAACTTTTCCTGCTTCTCTCCCTCTCTCTTTTTCTTCCCTCAGTCCCCACCTCCAGCCCGGCTTGGCCAGCCTCCCTGCTCTGACAGCTCTTAAAGGGAAAGTCCCAGGACTGATTTCACACAGGGAGATGAATTCTCACCCAGCATCCAGCATCCAGTGTTCCAGAGCGCTCAGACTCTCAGGGCAGGAGGGAGGAAGCAGGGAGGGGGTGCAGGCTGGAGGGGGGGATGCTGGACAGTGTGGGGCTTTGCCAGGGTTCGGGGTGGGGTGGGGAGGTCTCCTCCTTCTGACTCACTGGTCTCTTCCCGTGGGCTAGCCTTTCTTCACTCAGCTGCCAGCAAAGAAGGTTCCCAGTCCACCCAGAAATGCCAAGAGTTTACCCCTGGCATGCTTGGAGGTGTGAGCTATTGGCGGGGTCTGCAGGGCTCCTCACGGCTGTGGACACTGGTGGCAGGTCCTCTCCAGCGGGCTCTTCAGCCAGGACTCCTGAGTCCATTAGCCTGCCTTCAGTGTTGTTGGATAGTCTTACTCCTGAAGGGATGAGGTTCCCGGCCTCGGTCCTTTCTAGACCCAGTCAAAGAAATCTCATGTTTGCATCCGAAGTGACGGGAGCAGGGGGTCTTCTGAAGATCCAACTCCACTTTGTGGAGTCCCAGCATCTCTGCACACACCCTGTCAGCCGCCAGCCTCGGCTTCCCCTCTGACCTCTGGGATGTTCCTGCATCCCAGAGAGATCAGAAGCCGTCCTCAGACTGGCATTATGGTTGGTGGGTGTGGATCATCTCCTGGGTATGGCCAGCCAAAGCTGGTCGGTCCGGGGGGTCCTCTCTCCCTTTTAAGTATCATTCCCTGTGTTCCCGTCCCCGACCCTGCCAGACCTCCTCACTGCTGCTTTGCTTGCCTCCTACTCAGTAGGAAGACACCATTCTTGTACAATTCCCTTCCTTTCCTAGCAGTTCTTCAGCAGGGGATGCTGCCTGTTTGGCTGTGCCCACACAAGTCATTTGTGATCACCACAGATATGGCCCCCAAAGGTGACTATGATGATGATTCAGGGTTCGTTAGTCATTCACTCAGGTTGGGCCTCTGACCCAATTCTAGCCAGTGAGATGTAAAAGGAAGTCTAAAAGGGACCTCATTTCTAAAGAAAGAGATTTCTCCAGTCATCTTTCTGGTGTGTAAATGTGATGGCTGGAGCTGGAGCAGCCATTTTCATATAAGAGCAAGGTTGATACTGATGAAGAAATCTGGGTTCCTGGGTCCTCTTGTTGACAAAATGAATCAGCAACCCATGGCCTTAGCCACAGGTACTCAGGAATTTTGTTCTTTGGAGGCAAACCATATTAATTGATATTTGAGAATTGAAGAAAATCATGTATGTAGGCAAAGGGACACAAGTGTGGGGCCTTGAGACCAATCACCTCTATAGCTTATAATGTCCTTCTCATTAACTCATTTCATTGCTTCTGTAGCTGGGGCCCCTCAAGACCAGTGTGCTGCCAGGGGACATTAAAGACTCCCCCTAAGTCCGGGGAACCAGTGGATCATTTATGGCCTTTTGACAGACAACAGGCACGGGCATGTCACATGCCATGGGCCATGTCACAGCTCCCTCTGTGCTGTGACCAGGCAGAGCAAGCTCAGAGGTGCTGGGCAACTTCAAGGCTCACATATCCGAGTGCCCTTGTTGCTGACATGCATACTGTCAGAAACAGATTTCCTAAGCCACCCGGATCAGCCCTCAGCTCCTTGAGGACTCCACATCTCCAGCCTGCCAAGCTGAACCCCCAGAACACAATGCTGCACAGCTCCTTCCTCTGTATGAGGCCGTCTCCTTCCCTGTGGCCCCATGAACCCTGCTTCTCCTCATCCTTAGGGGCAGCCAGCTCTGTGCCTTCCCTGTCCTGTGTCTCCATCAACCTCCCAGAAGCTGTTTCTTTAAAAATGCTCACTGAAACGCTCTATCTTTAGAGAAACTGAGGCCCAAAGAACGGATATCAGGCATGAATTTCACTGTAAACAAGGAGCAGTTTCCTGAGTATAAATTCTGGTACCAAACCCTGGGCATACGTGGGGTTTTGACCCCAAGTCAATGGTGCAGGCATCTTAGCCTTCTCTTCAACATCTACTTCCGCTCGCACTCTCTAATCGCTTTTTCTTCCTAGCATGTGGCTCCTGATGGGTGCCTCAATGTCCATCATGTTTGACTTTCAGGTCTTGGCCTCATCTTGTTCTCTAGTGAACGGCCTTCCTATACGTTCTAGTTCCCCTAGTGGGGGCCAGAAAGCCTCTCACCTTTTAGGAATAAGTCTCAGGACTTGGGATTCAGGGACTCATTCTCTGGCTATCATCGTAGCCATGCTGCCCCATGTGGATTGATGGATGGACCAGTACTGCCTGAGGAGAGCTGGGCTTGAATTCCTGCACCAATTTCAGCTCTGTGGCCCTGGAGAAATCACTCGGGAGTTCCCTGTGCTCGCCGCTTCTTCGTGGTTCTTGATACTGAGAAAAGTGGTGATGGAGTGTGGTGGTGATGATTATGGTGATGATGGTGATGTTGTGGTGGTGATGGTGGTAGTGGTGGTGGATGGTGGTGGTGGTGATGAGTGGTGATGGTGGTGGATGATGATGCTGATGGTGGTAGTGGTGGTGATGGTGGTGGTAGTGGTGGTGATGGTGGTGATGATGGTGGATGGTGGTGGTGGTGTGGTGGGGGTGGTGGTGATGGTGGTGGTGATGGTGTTGATGATGATGCTGATAGTGGTGGATGATGTTGATGGTGGTGGTGGCGGATGGTGGATGATGGTGATGGTGGTGGTGGATGATGGCGATGGTGATGATGGTGATTTATGGTGATGGTGAGGGTGGTGATGGTGGTAGTGGTGGTGATGATGGTGATGGTGGTGAGTGGTGGTGATGGTGGTGGTGATGATGGTGATGGTGATGGTGGTTATGATGATGTATGTGTGTGTGTGTGTGTGAGAGAGAGAGTAGAGGGGTGGGCTGTAGGCAAGCTTAACACAGAGCAAGTGCTATAGAATGTTCTCTATCTTCCTGGCCCCTGTCCTGGTAATACCCCAAAGTGGGAGTCTGGCCTAGGGTGCATCCCAGTCCCGCTACCCCAGATTGCCATGTATGCACAGGTCATAGGAGGACTGTTTCTGGCTGTCCCCTTGGTCCTGTCAAAGCTCTGCTTCCTGTTTTATCTCAGGCATGCTCTCTGTACCAGCAAGAGCTGTAATCTTGCAGGAGGTGTCCCAAGGAAGATCTCCCTGAAGTAGCTGTAAATAATAAATAGGATTCCAGAGAGAGGGTGTGTGGGGAAGTGGGCTTCCAGAGTCAGGCTCAGGAGAACAGCTTTTCCACCAGGCGGTGAAGCCAGCCTGAGCTAGGGCCAGTGCGTGGAAGATTCCAGACCCAGTCTCGGTACCAGGTACCCAGAGGCCCCGAGGCTGACATCTGTAGCAGATCTGCTCACAGCCTGTTTGTTTGTCATTTATTCATCCCATGAACATGTTGGGAGCCCACACTGCTTGCAAGGGAGTGGCAGAGAGCCAGATCTATGCAGGCCTGGGCTGGTTGTTCAGCATACACAACGGTGACCTGCTGATCTAGAGGAAGCTCCTCACTGGCAGTGGGTAGGATGAGCTCTGTTGGGCCCAGGCACCCCCTCCTTTTCCTGGGACCAGAGGGACAATGGGAGAAGTCATGCAGGGAGCTCTGGGCTCCAGGTTTAACCAGATGCTAACAGGAGCAACGTAACTCTTCCCCTCCGTGCTCAGCCTCCTACCTCCCCCATGGTCCTTCTCATTTCCCCTCTGCTACTGGGTCATTTAGCTGAGGTTGGCTTGCAGAGTCTAGCTACAGATAGGGGAATCCTAGGACTCCCCAGCACTCATGAGAGGAGAAAACAGAGAATGTAAGGGCCTAGGTCATTTAACCATACAAAGGGCAATGTTTGCCTCCAGGGCTCTGATGCACATAGGTCCTCAGCGCTTGGTAGAGGCTGAGCGGTGGTTGTTACTCATCTCCTTGGCTCTTGTCATAGAGGCTCAGCTTGTGTCGCCATACTGGGGCACCTGGTGGGTCAGCGCCTCCAGTCTTGGGGTCCTTTCCTGAGGTTGGCTGTGTTGTGAGGGGCAGGACCCCCAGTTTTGTTCTCCCATCACTGGTCACCTGGTAAAACACAGTTCTGCCGTGTAAGGTGAGCTTTGGGCCAGCAGGTCCTGTGGCCTTGAGGCCCAAATGAACACACAGACACTATATAAATTATAAAAACTGTTGGCCAGTGGCTTGAACTTCTTATTGGTTAGCTCTGTCTTATTGATCAACCCATAACTACTAATCCATGTATTTCCATGTGGTCTTGGCTTACCGGAGAATGTCCGACCTGCTTTGCCTGCTATATAGTGACTGTTCTGGCAGGCTCTCCTGCCTATCTTTCCCAGATTTCTCCGCCCTAGCCCCGCCTTCTTCCTGCCTCATTGGCTATTGAACGGTGTTTTAGTCGCAACCAATAAGAGAAACATATACAGAAGGACATCCCCCCATCACTGCTGGTTTATTCTGGTAAGGGTGGCATGTCTGAGGGGACCCCTGAAATGAGATGGCAGAAATGCCACTCTAGTCAGCACTATTCTTGTGTGGTCAGCAGGCGCAGCATGACTAGACTCAAACCTCCAGTAGAGACTCTTTCCTTTCCTGCCTCCTGGGGTCTCGGCTCTGCTTCCAGCACTGTGGAGTCTCTAAGCATGTCTGGCAGCATTCTGGATCTCTACACTGGACCAAGATGGAAGCTTGCCTCCCTTGTGTCCTCTGATCTCAGCGCTTCTACACTGGTCCCCGGTTTCTGCACCCACAGTGCCTCTGTGGAGGATGCAGTTAGTCCTGAACCTTCACACCCACACAACCCCTTTGGAGCATCTGTGGGGATCA